TGAGACGGTAGAGCCAGGTAAAGATATCGTGACACAGCTGGCTTCATGAAGCTCTTTATAACCATCCTGATTATCTGCACCGCCACAACTTCACTGTCATTCCCACTCGCGTCAGAGTCAAGTCGTGTTCACGGCTTCCGGCTGTTATCTCCCAAGTAAGTGTCGTCGCTGTACTGTACTTGAAACAGATCACCTGGTGATTAGCCCCCAGCTTACTTCAGCTTAATATTAACCACCCTAACCTAACCTAACCCCCGAGGTAGTGTTAGGGTGTTTAATCCTCAGGTGAATAAACAAAGGGATGCTAATTTTCAGGTGTTTTTTTTTAATGATAACTTCGTCAAATTAAAATCCAACCCCGGAACTCTACCAGCGTGTTAATGCGGGTTAAGATGCGGTTATATTACAAGTTGGTCCAGGTACAGTAGGTCAGGATATGTTCAGGATGGGTTTGGTTCGGTTCGGTTACGACTCTATGTCTCGTAAATAATACTTGAACACAGGTAAGTCAAAGTCGTTGTGGACCTCGACGACTCCCCCCTCCGCCTCCCCTTGAAATTAATCGCACGACTCTTACGACTACTTCACATCCACACAGGGTTTACACATACGAGCGTGTGAGGTCGTCGCAGAATACTGAAAAACCAAAGGTGAGAATCGTGAGCAGTCGTTCCAACCCCACTAAACGACTCTGCTGGTTAAGCAACAACCGCCTGAGCTGGTGTTAGAGGTGGTCGTGGCAGAGGAAGTGAGAAACAGTTATACAGTACTGGAGTCGTTAAAGGACACGGAACTACCCTCTTAAGCTCGGTGCCAACCCCCCGCCATTTATTATTTCCTGTATCGTGTTTGTTTGTTTTTTCAACGAAATAAATATATTTACTTTTCCTCTGACTTTCTACCAACCTCACCTCCTCCCCCCTAGTGTGGTGAGTCTTAACAAGGGTGTGAACCACGTGGTGAGTCTTAACAAGGGTGTGAACCACGTGGTGAGTCTTAACAAGGGTGTGAACCACGTGGTGAGTCTTAACAAGGGTGTGAACCACGTGGTGAGTCTTAACATAAGAACATAAGAATGGAGGAAACTGCAGCTGGCCTATACTGGGCAGTCCCATTTACACCCAACCCCTATTGCTCATATATCCATTCTGAACCCGCTCCAGTGTTGGTCAAGTCTTGTCTTGAAAGAGCTCACACTCAGTGCCGTCACAACACTTTCTGACAGATTGTTCCAAGAGTTCACAACTCTCTCTCCGAAAAAGTTTGCCCTCACAGTTTTCTGGACTTGCGGCTTCTTCAATCTTGAGCTGTGACCCCTTGTGGGGCGAGCGTCCGCCACCTCCAAGTAAGGTGTGTTGACGTTTGACAGCCAGATGTGTTGTCAGGTATGTGTGTTGTGAGGTAGGTGTGTAGTTAGCCAGGTGTTTTGCCAGGTTATATACAGGGGGTGTTAAAGGTTCGCTCCTCCCAAACTGAAGCAGCAGCATCAGTCAGGTAAGACAGTTCAGAGACTGATTCCCGTAAACTTTGTGTGTGTGTGTGTGTGTGTGTGTGTGTGTGTGTGTGTGTGTGTGTGTCTGTGTGTGTTCTTTCAATAACAAGTGTTCTTAATTCTTTGTTTGTTTTCCTGTTAGTCATCTCTGTACGTCAGAGAGTTTACCGTTTAAGTCCGTTTCTTTGAGTCGCCAGAATTCTTATTTTCTTTATTATATTTCTATTGTATTTTTCTTCTATGAATCAAAATTGGTAAAAAAAAGTCCTCTACGAATTATTATTATTATTATTATTATTATTATTATTATTATTATTATTATTATTATCATTATTATTATTATTATTATTATTATTATTATTATATCTTTATAAACACAAATTGCATTATACTATACTCTCAAATTAAAGGAACAGTAAAAACAAACCAATAATTTATATATACTTTATTACAAACGTCATACTTACACAATTACACATTCAAGACATTTAATTAAAAAGCTTTCACTAACTTTTTAAAAGACTAATCTTATGTACAATAATTTACGAGGCCACATGTACGATAGTCACGTCTTTGTATATAAATAATTTTGGCAAGCAGCGCACATCTGACACGCACCTAAGACACATACCTGACACACACACACACACACACACACACACCATAAAGGGGGGTGGGGGTGGGGGATTACAAAAAAAGACTCCAGGCAGGAATAAGGTGAGTTTAGGGAGGTCTCCTGTTGTGAGGTCCCCACACAGTGAGGTCATCTAGAGCTTGTTATGTCATTAGCCCTCAACACTGGAAGACACTTGTAGTACAGTACATGTACATGGTAGATATGGGTAGTTCAAGACACCCCCCCCACACACTCACTAATGAGGCTTGCATACGGGTAAGAGCACATAAGGATTTATAAATAAGCTTACTGTAGTTGATTTACAGAGCACTCAAGGGCTTGGCTTTGTGGGAGAGAGAGAGAGACTCGCCAATATGGCACAGTGCAACATCAGAGATACGAGTATATAGCCCAATAAATGTCACCCCAGTTCGATCATTTTCACATATATTCATTCACCTCCCCATTAACAAGAACAGTGAAACAATTGACGATAAATAATGAAGAATTACTATTTGATCATCACAGCAGATAAGACCAAAGACTGAATTTAGTTTGGTGCAGCGCTTCTCATCACAACGAATTACCATTGACCGTTCATTTTAAAACTCATTTCTGATATATTCTGAGCATCGTTGTACCTGGATATATAAGGCTTTTTTTTTTAGTACTTATTTCTGAAGTAATATAACTAGTGTGATATGTAGTAATGGTATGATCTGGTTGAGTATCTAGAAAGAAATGACCTGAGGAAAAAATGTCGAGCAAAGACAAGACAGGGGCAAGGAGGCTCATTTCTGAATGTAATTTGTACATTTATTTTAGGGGCAGAGCTGAGGGGGGCAATGACTGGATACAATTATATTCACTATTAAAGGGGGAACATTTTAATCCATTCCCCCTATATTTCCGACCTAATTTGACCCAAATCGACCCAAGTTCGTTAGTTTTGGTCACGTTTGAATGGTATACACCGATAATATTATGAACTATGGAAGATTTTAAGCTCCATTCTTCTTAATACTTGAGTTCTGGCAATGATAATTTAGTACACAATGAACAACTCAAAAATATTTTAGTTTGTCCTTGATATAAGCGTAAGTTGTAATTATAGAAAACGTTTATAAGTTTATGGCTAACTATAGCAAAAAAAGACTAATAACGTTTTAATCCCAATGACAAATAATACATCGATAACATAATGACAGGAATAGAAAGAATGAACTGATATATTGACGATTAAGTGAGTGAGAGAGAAAGAATGAACTGATATATTGACGATTAAGTGAGTGAGAGAGAAAGAATGAACTGATATATTGACGATTAAGTGAGTGAGAGAGAAAGATATAAAGTGAACGGGTGACATATGAACGTACAATTATATCCAATTCAAAACTAGTATAATCCAAAGTACACTGAAACATCCTATTAATAATTACTCTCCCATAAGCATCTGCGACAGCCACACATTCATCCACTCTACACATGATCCACAAGTCTCATTACATTTCTACAAGGTACATGATAAAGCTATTATTTACAGCATTCGTAGTTATTGTCTTCTTTTCCTGATTGTACAAAGTCACAGAGACAAGGTTAGCCATTTTTTACAAGTCCTTTTGAAGTTTGTAAAATTGTTGATAGTTTTAAAGAACAGCTCCAACAATTCTACTGCATAGCTTCTCGAGATTCAGCTGATAGTTTTAAGTCTTCGGAAAATATTGAATGGGATGTTATCTGTATATTTTCTCTTATTTCCTTATTAAATCAGTATCAATATATTTCAACATTAATAACGTCTCGAGTAATATATTTTAATCCATAGTGATGCATGTTTCATCCTACATATATTTCATTCTCTGTTCTAGGTGACCCAAAGAACCATTTATACTTGATTTTCAACAACTGAACAAATATCCTTATAAAATAAATTGTATAATCTGTTATATACACACACACACACACACACGAGTATTATCACACAACTCACACGTCATAATATTTTAATATACAGTACTACCAACTCAACTCATCATAAAACTCTTTATATAAAACAAATTGTCCATCCTCCATTAGCCAAATACAAATATTAACCTACGTCTTTCTCATCCTAACTTAAATATTCAACTCATATTAACAAATTAACATCAAGAATCTAACATATAATTTAAAATACTGTATTACCAGTCTCTTATATTTTTCCTATTTTAATTTCATCATTATCTACAAGTTTGGGTTCTTACTTTTTTCTTACGATTCACATTTTCTTTCTATAAACCCATTTTCTATTTTTCCCATTTTCTGTTTATTCCCATTTTCTGTTTATTCTCATTTTCTTTAATTAGTTTCCTCTCTTATAATTAACCACTAAAATTTACCCATCAACTCACCCATGATTAATATGTCAATAATTTACCCCCTGTGTCCCATTGTATATCCCTGGTTAGTTATGGTTTACCCCCTACCATAATTTACCCCTCCCATGATATATACCCTTACCTGCCACCATGATTTAACCCCTCTATACCATGATTTATGTGTCCCTTTCTACCACCATGATATACACTACCTCTATCATATAAACCCTCTTCTTTCCATAATATAACCCCATCAACTACCATGACTTTTAACCATGATATACACTACCTCTCCATACCATGAACCTCTTCTTTCCATAATGATAACCCCCATCCCACCCACCCACCCTTTCTACATGTCCACCCCTTTCTACCATGATCCACCCCCTTTCTACCATGATCCTTTCTCTCCCCTTTCTACATGATCCACCCCTTTCTACCATGATCCACCCCTTTCACCATGATCCACCCCTTTCTACCATGATCCACCCCTTTCTACCATGATCCACCCCCTTTCTACCATGATCCACCCCTTTCTACCATGATCCACCCCCTTTCTACCATGATCCACCCCCTTTATACCATGATCCACCCCCTTTCTACCATGATCCACTCTCTCTACCAGTCAAAGTACTTGTGGTCACAGTCCCTTGATGAGCCACACCACTTGGTCTCCTGAAGGGAAGGGCAGGGTCGTCCACCTCTACGGGAGTGACGTAATACGGTTCTTGTGCGAATCTGAAAGAAAAGAGACGACAATAACAGATGGATAATTGTATAGATGGATAGATAGATAGATAGATAGATGGATAGATAGATAGATAGATAGATGGGTGGATAGAGGTTTCTTTATAATGATTCAAAGTTGTAGTGACAGTGGCTCCCATGGGTATGAGTGGTCATTAGGGACAGTGGATATAGCACACTGTGTACTAAGCCTTGGGTACACAAGGAGGCAGCATAGCCAGTACTGCACTAGTTTCGCCTTCACTTCCCCATATTTAGGTACCCATCTACACCTGGGTGAACTGAATGCGCCCGTAAATCGAACCACCGACCCCTGGAACAGGTGAGCGAGCGCTGTATCCACTTGACCACCTCACTTCACATAGATAGTGCAGGTATGCAAATTATGTATATAGAATCACTGGCTGGATTCCCACTCATTGATTATTCATCCCACTCGGATCCCCACTCACCTGTTCCCCGATGCCACAAGTCTTGCTACAGGAGGACCACTCAGCCCACTCGGACAAGAGACAGTCACGGGGGCCACGGTTGCGACCTATGTGAGAGGGTATTTCTGAGTTAGTTTAGTTATTGAAAGGATGACCTGACCTGACCCCTCTCTCTCCCTGCCTGTCTTCCTCTGTCCTTCCCTTACTTATTTACTCATTTACTCCCACATTCCTTCTTTTCCTCATTCCTCCTCACTCACCCCACTCGTTCACTCCTTCCCTCATTCACTAACTCACCCTCTCCTTCCCTCCCCTAACAACCACCAGGCAGGGGGAAAAACAGTCATTTGCTCTCGTCTGATCAAGGGGTTAGGTTAGGTTAGGTTAAGTTTGGTTTGGTTTGCTTTGGCTTGGTTTGGTTTGGTTAAATTGGGTTAGGTTAGGTTAGGGAAATAATTCGCATACACACATATGTACAAGAGTTACGATATTGACACAAACACATACAGTCGCCTGCACTTATACCTGGTACACTATCTGACATGTTTGGTGAGGATGTGGCAACTGTGTGGAACGTTTACCCAGCATCCTTACTCTGTCTACCATTGTGAGGTTCCTTAAGACAATTTTTGGATTTTAATAAGATGTAAACAAACACTTGAGTTGCCACATCTCACAAAACGCACCAGCCACTGTACCAGGTATAAGTGCAGGCGACTGTACGTGAGATCACATACAATATATCTATTTATATACACATTAAGTTAGTCAATGAGTGAGTGAATAGTGAGGGATGGATAAATTAGGCTAACACACGTCTGTCTCACTTACGGCGAGCCATCTTCTTACAGTGAGATTTTCTACCTGGTCCCATCTTCCTGCCCGTCCTGTTCTTTTTAAACTTCTTCCTGTACTTGTTCACGACGGTGTTGAGAAGGGGCTGCTTGGTGGAGGAGGAGGAGGAGGAGGAGGAGGGCTCGCCTGTCTCTGGTAGGATGCTGTTGTTGACGTCATTATCTCCCTCGCCTGTTCTTCCTTTGGTGGTGTTGTCATCTTGGAGATCCTGTGGAGAGTACCGCCTGGTGGTGGATGACCTGGGCAGTGACGGTGAGAATACCTGGGACAGCTCATATTCCTTCACCTGTAACATACAACAGGATACAGTAACATAGAGTAAGATAAAATACAATACAGTAGAACTCGATACATTAGTTTATGAACCTACTTGGCATTACCTACCATTACCCCCATTATGTCTTCCTCTCCCCATTTCCTCCCATTTCACCCATTATCTACCTCCCTATCCCCCATTACGTACACTTACCTTAACTATGTGGAAGGTGGCAATGGGTGGGTGTTCCTGTACGTCCGGGTAATAGAAGGAATTAGCCGGATGATCTGGACTCTGGGCTGTTATCCGGCTGACCGGTTTTTTGGGGATAGTCGGCCAGTTAGGTGAGGTGAAGGTGAATCCGTTGTCCGTACCTGCGTCTAGGGGGTCCACCTGGGTCGACATGGGGAAGGTTAGGTTAGGTGAGGATAGTGTGAATTTAGGTAAAGGTAGCATCATTATAGCTTCAGGGTGTATAAAGCTAATTTTAGGTCTATTTAGAATGTAGAAAGCTAATTGTAGGTCGATTTATGCTGTAGAAAGCAAATTATAGGTCGATCCAGCAAAATCAGGGGAGTAAAGTTTTAAGTAAAGCTATTATTAGGGAAGCTAAAGATCAGCTCCATAAATGCAAATGCTGACTTATTGACTGAATGACTGACTGGGTGACTGAATGACTGACTGGCTGACTGAATGACTGACTGGCTGACTGAATGACTGACTGGCTGACTGAATGATTGAGTGACTGAATGATTGACTGGGTGACTAAATGACTTACTTAGCGACTGAATGACTGAGTGAATGATTGACCAAATTACTAACTGAATGACTGACGGACTTACAGAACTTTTCGTAAAAATGTTTATTGGTGAACCTATTGGCTATTGACTTGAAAGAGAGAGAGAGAGAGAGAGAGAGAGAGAGAGAGAGAGAGAGAGAGATAACTCACCTCCAGCACCACGGACTCCACCCACTTGCCCTCAACACACAGGTCAAAGCTATCAATACCGATGAACCAATCAGGAGACGGCACCACTCGCGATATAAGAGACACCTGTAACAAAGAGATAGATTATTATATTACCTGGTGGAGTAGTTGACCTCCCTGACCTCCATACACCTCTTGACCTCCACACCCTCTCCCTCCCTCCATCCCACCACGCCCTCTCCCTCACCCTCTCCTCCCTTTCCTTCACCCCTTGACCTCACACTCATAACCTACCCTAACCTCACACTCATGACCTACCCTGACCTCACACTCATAACCTACCCTGACCTCACACTCATAACCTACCCTAACCTCACACTCATAACCTACCCTGACCTCACACTCATAACCTACCCTGACCTCACACTCATGACCTACCCTGACCTCACACTCATAACCTACCCTAACCTCACACTCATGACCTACCCTGACTTCACACTCATAACCTACCCTGACCTCACACTCATAACCTACCCTGACCTCACACTCATAACCTACCCTGGAGTGGTTGCCATCGACGAAGAACTCGGTCTGCGTCTCTCCTGCACCTTCAGGTACGGGCGGGGCGTTGAACTCATCAAAGACGCCTCCTTCACCCTGACTGTGGGCGTCCAGTACCTCGGTCTGGCCTTGCTCAGCGAACTGTTTGAGGCCTTCCGACGCTGCCTCGCCCATCCTGAATAGTTTGAAGGAGCTGTTGTGGGAGCGACCTGTGGGAGAGGGAGAGAGAGTGGGGGTGGTGAGAGGGAGAGAGAAAATGGTGGTGAGAGGGGTGTTATAATCGGGTGGTGAGTGGGGACGGTGAGAGGGAGAGAGAAAATGGTGGTGAGAGGGGTGTTAGGTAGGGTGGTGAGGGTGGTGAGAGGAGAGAGAGAAAATGGTGGTGAGAGGGATGTTAGGTAGGGCGGTGAGAGGGAGAAAAATAGTGGTGAGAGGGGGTGTTAGGTAGGGGTGGTAGTGGGGGGAGGTGAGAGAGAAAATGGTGGTGAGAGGGGTGTTGGGTAAGTGGTAGTGGGGGAGTGTGGTGAGAGGGGAGAGAAAATGGTGGTGAGGAGGGGTGTTAGGTAGGGCGGTGAGGAGGGAGAGAGAAAATGGTGGTGAGAGGGGTGTTTGGGGTGAAAGAGGGAGAGAGAGAGAGAGGGAGAGTTCGTAAGTTAAAATATAACTACACACACACACACACACACACACACACACACACACACACACACACACACACACACACAGAAACACCCTATACTGAATGTTTAATTGGTTGTCATGTTCCACGGCCACGCCCATGTTAAAACTAGGTTACAAGACAAAGGGCTAACTGTGTGGCAGTGGGCGTGGCGTGTAGGTGTGTGGGCGTGGTATGTAGGTGTGTGGGCGTGGTGTGTGGGTGTGTGGGCGTGGTGTGTGGGTCAGTGTGTAGGGATGGTCGTGGGTTTACCATTTGTGTGAGAGAGAGAGAGAGAGAGAGGCGTAGAAATTATCGTAGGAGACTTTAAGAATCTCACACACAGCTATAAATATTAACATGGAAGACACTGCGAGGCCATGGTGAGGTAGAGGTTGTCACAGGAGAGGTTAGGAGGCCGTGGTGAGGTAGACACTACACTAAGGTGACCTCTGGGCTGATCCGGGAGGCAAGGTCCTGAACAAGGTTAACTTGGTAGCAGTGGTTGATGACACTCAGAGACCTTCGCTCTTCTCCTCCTTCTCCTCCTCCTCCTCCTCCTCTTCATCCTCTTCTTCCTCCTCCTCCTCGTCCTCCCCCTCCTCCTCTTCATCCTCTTCTTCCTCCTCCTCCTCTTTCTCCCCCTCCTCCTCCTCCCCTCCTCCTCTTCATCCTCTTCTTCCTCCTCCTCCTCTTTCTCCCCCTCCTCCTCCTCCTCCTACATATATTTCCTAATCTTCCTCCTTTTCCTCCTCATCTTCCTTCACTTTATTCATCCTCTTCACCGTTCTACTTAACAAGACCTAAGGTGAGGGAGGGAGAGGAAGGGAAGGAGGAAGAGAAGATAAAAGTGAGACATAGGAGGTCAGGGAGAGAGGTAAGAAGAGGCAGGAAGTGAGAAAGAGGAGAAGGGAGGAAGAGTAAATGAGGAGGAAGAAAGAATTGAGGGTTTGAGGAAGAGGAAACGAGACGGAGAAAGGAAAATGACGTAGGGAAGGAAGGAAGGAAAGAAGGAAGGAAGGAAGGACAATAACACAGACATACAAACAAACAAACAAATTAGACTGTACCCAACAATTACCTCATTAAGTCCCGGGTTCGATATCCACTCACTCTAGTTAGTTATATAATTAATTGTCGTCAGTGAGGATAATGATCACCCGCCTCCATCAACCTTACGACAACACCATCGTCATTAGCATCACCTCGGCGACTCTCTTTTGTTTCTCCTCGCGGTAGGATTTGGTGTAGGAATAGCTTCAAGGAGGTAGGATTTAATGTACATACATCTTAGTTAACGTACAAAACCAAGTGATATCCTACAATGAACTTAGATAACGCAGAGAATCCTACAGGAATATACGTCCTCGTGTGGGTCAGGTCTCAGGATCTGGTTTAGGGATGCCTTTGATGATTCACTTGAACGATTCCATTAATGTTATTGGAACACAAGGTTGAGTGACTCCTCCAGCCAGCTACTGGTGTTAGGATCTTATCACCTGACGGATTACATTAACCCCCAGTTACTTTACCTGTTGATTTAAGACCCTATCGCTAACCTAACCTAATTATCAGGTGTGGTGTACAAGTGTGTTGGTTCCTCCTCCTCCTTCTCCACTCTTCCCCCCCTTCCTCCTCCTTTTCCTCCTCCTCTCTTATTCCCTCGGAGTTTTCCTTCCCCTACTTATCCCTCTCCTCCTTCTTCCCCCAGGGCCCTCTCTTCCCTCCATGGCCCTCTCCTCCCTCCAGGGCCCTCTCTTCCCTCCAGGGCCCTCCCCTCCCCCCAGGGCCCTCTCTTCCCTCCATGGCCCTCTCCTCCCTCCAGGGCCCTCTCTTCCCTCCAGGGCCCTCCCCTCCCCCCAGGGCCCTCTCCTCCCCCCCAGGGCCTTCTCCTCTCCACTAAGGGGCGGTGTCTCAAAGGGGTGAGGGCTAGTGGGGAGTGTCGGGGCACATCCTTCAACCACTAATGTGACTACCATCTTCCTCCACCTCCTCCTCCTCCTACCTCTTCCTCATCCATCCTCCTACCTGATCCTCCTCCTACGCCCTCCTCCCCTGCCTCTCCTATCTCTTCCTAACGCCTACCTTCTCTTCCCCTCTACCACTTCTTCCTTCTCATACTGTTCCTCATCTTCCTCTCCTCCTCCTCCTCCTATCAACTATCCTCTTCCTTATCCTAACCTAACCTAACCTAACCTAACCTAACCTAACCCCCTCTAAGATAGCATATGAACACCCAGACATCGTTCATCAAGGAAAAGCCATTTAAAGGTCAAGAAATGTGTGCTTGAAGGAGGGGGTGAAGGAGGGGGTGGGTTTAATGGGGGTCAGGAGGGGGAAGATAAGGGGTCAAGAGGAGGTGGTGGTGGAGGGTTCAGAGGTTGGGGAGGGTCAAGAAGGAGAGGATGAGGGAGGAAGAGGAGGAAAGCAAGGATGAAGGCAGGGGGAGGAGGAGGAGGAGAAGGAAGAAGAAAAAGAGAAGGAGATGGAGGGGTCAGAAATGGAGGAGAGGAGAGGGGGTCAAAGGGTGAAGTTAAGTGCCAAGAAGTGCCACCCCTCCCCACTCCACCCCCTCACACTGGCACTACCCCCCTCCCCTTCTCCTCTCCTCACACTGCCACCCCCCCTCCTCCCCCTCAATCTGACACGAGCAAGAAAGCAAGTCCCGTTAACTCTGATGATTATATACACACGCCTCCTGGTTTAACCCACTCTTGTTGGTCATAACCCATGCCTGGTTAAACCCACACTTAATGATCTAACCCACGTCTGCTGGTACAACCCACAATGAACGATGCTTAATAGATCAGTAGTGACTCGTTTAGGGAGAAGAGAAGGAAGAAGGGAGAATGAGGGAGAAGGAGGAGAGAGGTGGAGAGGGTTAGTGAGAGGGGTGAGAGGGTCAGTGAGAGGGTCAGTGAGAGGGTCAGTGAGAGGGTCAGTGGTCTTGCAGCATCCGAAGTTTAGTTTACCAAGCCGAGAGGAAGGAGAGAAAATTTTATATTTAATGAGGTGTTTGACAGAGGCAGTGAGTTAGGTGAGAGGAGCCGTGAGTGTGTGCTGGGAGGGAGAGGGAGAGGGGGAGTGGGAAGGAGAGGGAGAGAGGGAATTAATAGGGCAGAGAGAGAGAGAATGACTGTTGGGGGGGATAGTGAGAGAGAGATATGGAAGACTGGGAAATAGAAGAAAGAGAGAAATGAAAGGGAGAGAGAGGAGAAATGTGGATGGAGAGGAGAGAGGAAAGGTGAGATAGGGAGAGAAAGGGTGAGAATATTTAATTAGATGGAAATTGCCGAGTAATTAAAATGTATTCGTTTTGTAATTTTCTATGTCAAAGAATAATATTATATAATATTCCCTTGGTGTATTTAACGTTTTGGATGTTGAAAAATGTGTAAATAGTCTCATAAGTTAACAAATTCAAGAACAGAGAAGCAATATTTCCCATTTTCTTCTATGGATAAGGGGTAACTTAAGTATTCCTAAAGCGCCATACATTTTGTCGCAGCTGGGCTAATTTTAACTACTCAGGAGACGCCCTTGGTGTTAATCCCCCCGGCTGACCTCATGCAACATAACTCGTGCAACTTGAATTGAATGTGACACTTACATTATGAACTCAAGACGTGGCACGTGCACCGTGAGTCATGGCATAACACGTGCACCGTGACTCATGTATGACACGTGCACCCTCCCCTCTCACCAACCCCCACAGTGTTTGGGGAGGTGTCAGGGGAGTGAGACTCGTACTTCACCTTCACGTAAATAGACAACCTCCTTCTCCTCCCACGTCCTCCCTCCACGACCTAACTCAACGACCTCTACACACCACACAACATGTAGTCGTTCTGGACTTGTTTGTACGCCTCACTGACACAACGACCAGATACAGTGTCGCTGCTCGCCACTAGTTGCTCTGAAGAATAGACTCAGTCAGTCAAACTCTCAATCAGCCAGTCAGGTATTCGTAGAGCTGACTAACGCAACTAATGACGTTAACATATCCTGTGTGGGGGAGAGTCAAGATAAATAACACAGTCTCTCTCTGTCTCTCTCAATGTAAAGGTCTGTAGCACTGGGTTACCTTGTCTCTGTTACCCTCGCAAACTGTTTACTCTCTCTCTCTCTCTCTCTCTCTCTCTCTCTCTCTCTCTCTCTGTGTTTACTCCTACTCACAAGCGCAATAAGACACTCCCCCTTTTTTTTATCCCAGGATGAACTAAAATATCAGGTACTAATAATATCCCTCAAGTTGTTGCCCTTCGACTAGATCTTCCTGGAGTTCAAAATATCTTTCTTTAATAATAGTGAGAAAATCCTTATGTGGTGTTGTTGTGTTGGGTAATGTGTGTGTGTGTGCGCGTATACTGTCCTCCACACACACACACACACACACACACACACTGGCCGTCTGTCACCGTGTCCTCAAGGCCAGGAGTGCCGACCAAACAGTGAGTGACCTCCGCCCTGGCACCCGACACTCAACCTACCTGTTACGTCATCATCACCGTCTGCCCCTTCTGCTGCCACTGCTTCCCGGTTCATGACTAC